TATACATGTTCCTATGACTATGAGATTATGCAACTCCCGTTTACCGAAGGAACACTTTGTGTGCTACCAAACGTCACAACGTAACTGGGTGATTATAAAGGAGCTCTACAGGTGTCTCCAAAGGTACATGTTGGGTTGGCGTATTTCGAGATTAGGATTTGTCACTCCGATTGTCGGAGAGGTATCTCTGGGCCCTCTCGGTAATGCACATCACATAAGCCTTGCAAGCATTGCAACTAATGAGTTAGTTGTGAGATGATGTATTACAGAAAGAGTAAAGAGACTTGCCGGTAACGAGATTGAACTAGGTATTGAGATTCCAACGATCGAATCTCGGGCAAGTAACATACCGATGACAAAGGGAACAACGTATGTTGTTATGCGGTCTGACCGATAAAAGATCTTCGTAGAATATGTAGGAGCCAATATGAGCATCCAGGTTCCGCTATTGGTTATTGACCGGAGACATGTCTCGATCATGTCTACATTGTTCTCGAACCCGTAGGGTCCGCACGCTTAAGGTTTCGATGACAGTTATATTATGAGTTTATGCATTTTGATGTACCGAAGTTTGTTCGGAGTCCCGGATGTGATCACGGACCCGACGAGGAGTCTCGAAATGGTCGAGACATAAAGATTGATATATTGTAAGCCTATATTTGGATACCGGAAGTGTTCCGGGTGAAATCGGGATTTTACCGGAGTACCGGGAGGTTACTGGAACCCCCCGGGAGGTATATGGGCCTTAGTGGGCTTTAGTGGAAGAGAGGAGAGGTGGCCAGGGCTGGGCCGCGCGCCCCTCCCCCCTAGTCCGAATAGGACAAGGAGAGGGGGCCGGCGCCCCCCTTCCTTCTCTCTCTCCTCTTTCCCCCCTCCCGAATCTTATTCCAACTAGGAAAGGGGGGGAATCCTACTCCCAGAGGGAGTAGGACTCCTCCTGGCGCGCCCTCTCCTAGCCGGCCGCACCCCCCCCCCCTTGATCCTTTATATACGGGGGCAGGGGCACCCCATAGACACACAAGTTGATCCACGTGATCATATTCTTAGACGTGTGCGGTGCCCCTTCCACCATAGTCCTCGATAATATTGCAGCGGTGCTTAGGCGAAGACCTGCGACGGTAGTACATCAAGATCGTCACCACGCCATCGTGCTGACGGAACACTTCCCCGACACTTTGCTGGATCGGAGTCCGGGGATCGTCATCGAGCTGAACGTGTGCTAGAACTCGGAGGTGCCGTAATTTCGGTGCTTGATCGGCCGGGCCGTGAAGACGTACGACTACATCAACCATGTTGTGCTAATGCTTCCGTTGTCGATCTACAAGGGTACGTAGATCACACTCTCCCCTCTCGTTGCTATGCATCACCATGATCTTGCGTGTGCGTAGGAAAATTTTGAAATTACTACGTTACCCAACAATGGCATCCGAGCCTAGGTTTTATATGTTGATGTTATATGCACGAGTAGAACACAAGTGAGTTGTGGGCGATATAAGTCATACTGCTTACCAGCATGTCATACTTTGGTTCGGCGATATTGTTGGACGAAGCGGCCCGGACCGACATTACGCGTACGCTTACGCGAGACCGGTTCTCCCGACGTGCTTTGCACAAAGGTGGCTAGCGGGTGACAGTTTCTCCAACTTTAGTTGAACCAAGTGTGGCTACGCCCGGTCCTTGCAAAGGTTAAAACAGCACCAACTTGACAAACTATCGTTGTGGTTTTGATGCGTAGGTAAGATTGGTTCTTGCTTAAGCCCGTAGCAGCCACGTAAAACATGCAACAACAAAGTAGAGGACGTCTAACTTGTTTTTGCAGGGCATGTTGTGATGTGATATGGTCAAAACATGATGCTAAATTTTATTGTATGAGATGATCATGTTTTGTAACCGAGTTATTGGCAACTGGCAGGAGCCATATGGTTGTCGCTTTATTGTATGCAATGCAATCGCGCTGTAATGCTTTACTTTATCACTAAGCGGTAGCGATAGTCATGGAAGCATAAGATTGGCGAGACGACAACGATGCTACGATGGAGATCAAGGTGTCGCGCCGGTGACAATGGTGATCACGACGGTGCTTCAAAGATGGAGATCACAAGCACAAGACGATGATGGCCATATCATATCACTTATATTGATTGCATGTGATGTTTATATTTTATGCATCTTATCTTGCTTTGATTGACGGTAGCATTATAAGATGATCTCTCACTAATTATCAAGAAGTGTTCTCCCTGAGTATGCACCGTTGTGAAAGTTCTTCGTGCTGAGACACCATGTGATGATCGGGTGTGATAGGCTCTACGTTCAAATACAACGGGTGCAAAACAGTTGCACACGCGGAATACTCAGGTTATACTTGACGAGCCAAGCATATACAGATATGGCCTCGGAACACGGAGACCGAAAGGTCGAGCATGAATCATATAGTAGATATGATCAACATAGTGATGTTCACCAATGAAACTACTCCATCTCACGTGATGATCGGACATGGTTTAGTTGATTTGGATCACGTAATCACTTAGAGGATTAGAGGGATGTCTATCTAAGTGGGAGTTCTTTAAGTAATATGATTAATTGAACCTAAATTTATCGTGAACTTAGTAGCTGATAGTATCTTGCTTATTTATGTTTGATTGTAGATAGATGGCCCGTGCTGTTGTTCCGTTGAATTTTAATGTGTTCCTTGAGAAAGCTAAGTTGAAAGATGATGGTAGCAATTACACGGACTGGGTCCGTAACTTGAGGATTATCCTCATTGCTGCATAGAAGAATTACGTCCTGGAAGCACCGCTGGGTGCCAGGCCTGCTGCTGGAGCAACACCAGATGTTATGAACGTCTGGCAGAGCAAAGCTGATGACTACTCGATAGTTCAGTGTGCCATGCTTTACGGCTTAGAATCGGGACTTCAACGACGTTTTAAACGTCATGGAGCATATGAGATGTTCCAGGAGTTGAAGTTAATATTTCAAGCAAATGCCCGGATTGAGAGATATGAAGTCTCCAATAAGTTCTATAGCTGCAAGATGGAGGAGAACAGTTCTGTCAGTGAGCATATACTCAAAATGTCTGGGTATAATAATCACTTGATTTAATTGGGAGTTAATCTTCCAGATGATTGCGTCATTGACAGAATTCTCCAATCACTGCCACCAAGCTGCAAGAGCTTCGCGATGAACTATAATATGCAAGGGATGAATAAGACTATTCCCGAGCTCTTTGCAATGCTGAAAGCTGCGGAGGTAGAAACCAAGAAGGAGCATCAAGTGTTGATGGTCAACAAGACCACTAGTTTCAAGAAAAAGGGCAAAGGAAAGAAGAAGGGGAACTTCAAAAAGAACAACAAGCAAGTTGCTGCTCAAGAGAAGAAACCCAAACCTGGACCTAAGCCTGAAACTGAGTGCTTCTACTGCAAGCAGACTGGTCACTGGAAGCGGAACTGCCTCAAGTATTTGGCGGATAAGAAGGATGGCAAGGTGAACAAAGGTATATGTGATATACATGTTATTGATGTGTACCTTACTAATGCTCGCAGTAGCACCTGGGTATTTGATAGTGGTTCTGTTGCTAATATTTGCAACTCGAAACAGGGACTACGGATTAAGCAAAGATTGGCTAAGGACGAGGTGACGATGCACGTGGGAAATGGTTCCAAAGTCGATGTGATCGCAGTCGGCACGCTACCTCTACATCTACCTTCGGGATTAATATTAGACCTAAATAATTGTTATTTGGTGCCAGCGTTAAGCATGAACATTATATCTGGATCTTGTTTGATGCGAGACGGTTATTCATTTAAATCAGAGAATAATGGTTGTTCTATTTACATGAGTGATATCTTTTATGGTCATGCACCCTTAAAGATGGTCTATTCTTATTAAATCTCGATAGTAGTGACACACATATTCATAGTGTTGAAACCAAAAGATGCAGAGTTGATAATGATAGTGCAACTTATTTGTGGCACTGCCGTTTAGGTCATATCGGTATAAAGCGCATGAAGAAACTCCATACTGATGGGCTTTTGGAACCACTTGATTATGAATCACTTGGTACTTGCGAACCGTGCCTTATGGGTAAGATGACAAAAACACCGTTCTCCGGTACTATGGAGAGAGTAACAGATTTGTTGGAAATCATACACACAGATGTATGTGGTCCGATGAATGTTGAGGCTCGTGGCGGATATCGTTATTTTCTCACCTTCACAGATGACTTAAGCAGATATGGGTAGATCTACTTAATGAAACACAAGTCTGAGACGTTTGAAAAGTTCAAAGAATTTCAGAGTGAAGTTGAAAATCATCGTAATAAGAAAATAAAATTCCTACGATCTGATCGTGGAGGAGAATATTTGAGTTATGAGTTTGGTGTACATTTGAAACAATGTGGAATAGTTTCGCAACTCACGCCACCCGGAACACCACAGCGTAATGGTGTGTCCGAACGTCGTAATCGTACTTTACTAGATATGGTGCGATCTATGATGTCTCTTACTGATTTACCACTATCGTTTTGGGGATATGCTCTAGAGACGGCCGCATTCACATTAAATAGGGCACCATCAAAATCCGTTGAGACGACGCCTTATGAACTGTGGTTTGGCAAGAAACCAAAGTTGTCGTTTCTGAAAGTTTGGGGCTGCGATGCTTATGTGAAAAAGCTTCAACCTGATAAGCTCGAACCCAAATCGGAAAAATGTATCTTCATAGGATATCCAAAGGAAACTATTGGATACACCTTCTATCACAGATCCGAAGGCAAGACTTTTGTTGCTAAATTCTGAAACTTTCTGGAGAAGGAGTTTCTCTCGAAAGAAGTGAGTGGGAGGAAAGTAGAACTTGACGAGGTAACTATACCTACTCCCTTATTGGAAAGTAATACATCACAGAAACCTGTTTCTGTGACACCTACACCAATTAGTGAGGAAGCTAATGATAATGATCATGAAACTTCAGAACAAGATACTACTAAACCTCGTAGATCAACCAGAATGAGATCCGCGCCAGAGTGGTACGGTAATCCTGTTCTAGAAGTCATGCTATTAGATCATGATGAACCTACGAACTATGAAGAAGCGATGGTGAGCCCAGATTCCGCAAAACGGCTTGAAGCCATGAAATCTGAGATGGGATCCATGTATGAGAACAAAGTATGGACTTCGGTTGACTTGCCCAATGATCGGCAATTAATTGAGAATAAATGGATCTTCAAGAAGAAGACTGACGCTGACGGTAATATTACTGTCTACAAAGCTCGACTTGTCGCAAAAGGTTTTCGGCAAGTTCAAGGGATTGACTACGATGAGACCTTCTCACCCGTAGCGATGCTTAAGTCTGTCCGAATCATGTTAGCAATTGCCGCATTTTATGATTATGAAATTTGGCAGATGGATGTCAAAACCGCATTCCTGAATGGATTTCTGGAAGAAGAGTTGTATATGATACAACCAGAAGGTTTTGTCGATCCAAAGGGAGCTAACAAAGTGTGCAAGCTCCAGCGATCCATTTATGGACTGGTGCAAGCCTCTCGGAGTTGGAATAAACGCTTTGATAGTGTGATCAAAGCATTTGGTTTTATACGGACTTTTGGAGAAGCCTGTATTTACAAGAAAGTGAGTGGGAGCTCTGTAGCATTTCTGATATTATATGTGGATGACATATTACTAATTGGAAATGATATAGAATTTCTGGATAGCATAAAGGGATACTTGAATAAGAGTTTTTCAATGAAAGACCTCGGTGAAGCTGCTTACATATTAGGCATTAAGATCTATAGAGATAGATCAAGACGCTTAATTGGACTTTCACAAAGCACATACCTTGACAAAGTTTTGAAGAAGTTCAAAATGGATCAAGCAAAGAAAGGGTTCTTGCCTGTGTTACAAGGTGTGAAGTTGAGTCAGACTCAATGCCCGACCACTGCAGAAGATGGAGAGAAAATGAAAGATGTTCCCTATGCTTCAGCCATAGGCTCTATCATGTATGCAATGCTGTGTACCAGACCTGATGTGTGCCTTGCTATAAGTCTAGCAGGGAGGTACCAAAGTAATCCAGGAGTGGATCACTGGACAGCGGTCAAGAACATCCTGAAATACCTGAAAAGGACTAAGGATATGTTTCTCGTTTATGGAGGTGACAAAGAGCTAATCGTAAATGGTTACGTTGATGCAAGCTTTGACACTGATCCGAACGATTCTAAATCGCAAACCGGATACGTGTTTACATTAAATGGTGGAGCTGTTAGTTGGTGCAGTTCTAAACAAAGCGTCGTGGCAGGATCTACATGTGAAGCTGAGTACATAGCTGCTTCGGAAGCAGCAAATGAAGGAGTCTGGATGAAGGAGTTCATATCCGATCTAGGTGTCATACCTAGTGCATCGGGTCCAACGAAAATCTTTTGTGACAATACTGGTGCAATTGCCTTGGCAAAGGAATCTAGATTTCACAAGAGAACCAAGCACATCAAGAGACGCTTCAATTCCATCCGGGATCTAGTCCAGGTGGGAGACATAGAGATTTGCAAGATACATACGGATCTGAATGTAGCAGACCCGTTGACTAAGCCTCTTCCACGAGCAAAACATGATCAGCACCAAAGCTCCATGGGTGTTAGAATCATTACCGTGTAATCTAAATTATTGACTCTAGTGCAAGTGGGAGACTGAAGGAAATATGCCCTAGAGGCAATAATAAAGTTATTATTTATTTCCTTATATCATGATAAATGTTTATTATTCATGCTAGAATTGTATTAACCGGAAACATAATACATGTGTGAATACATAGACAAACAGAGTGTCACTAGTATGCCTCTACTTGACTAGCTTGTTAATCAAAGATGGTTATGTTTCCTAACCATGGACAAAGAGTTTTTATTTGATTAACGGGATCACATCATTAGGTGAATGATCTGATTGACATGACCCATTCCATTAGCTTAGCACCCGATCGTTTAGTATGTTGCTATTGCTTTCTTCATGACTTATACATGTTCCTATGACTATGAGATTATGCAACTCCCGTTTACCGGAGGAACACTTTGTGTGCTACCAAACGTCACAACGTAACTGGGTGATTATAAAGGAGCTCTACAGGTGTCTCCAAAGGTACATGTTGGGTTGGCGTATTTCGAGATTAGGATTTGTCACTCCGATTGTCGGAGAGGTATCTCTGGGCCCTCTCGGTAATGCACATCACATAAGCCTTGCAAGCATTGCAACTAATGAGTTAGTTGTGAGATGATGTATTACGGAACGAGTAAAGAGACTTGCCCGTAACGAGATTGAACTAGGTATTGAGATACCGACGATCGAATCTCGGGTAAGTAACATACCGATGACAAAGGGAACAACGTATGTTGTTATGCGGTCTGACCGATAAAAGATCTTCGTAGAATATGTAGGAGCCAATATGAGCATCCAGGTTATGCTATTGGTTATTGACCGGAGACATGTCTCGGTCATGTCTACATTGTTCTCGAACCCGTAGGGTCCGCACGCTTAAGGTTTCGATGACAGTTATATTATGAGTTTATGCAGTTTGATGTACCGAAGTTTGTTCAGAGTCCCGGATGTGATCACGGACCCGACGAGGAGTCTCGAAATGGTCGAGACATAAAGATTGATATATTGGAAGCCTATATTTGGATATCTGAAGTGTTCCGGGTGAAATCGGGATTTTACCGGAGTACCGGGAGGTTACCGGAACCCCCCGGGAGGTATATGGGCCTTAGTGGGCTTTAGTGGAATAGAGGAGAGGTGGCCAGGGCTGGGCGGCGCGCCCCTCCCCCCCATAGTCCGAATAGGACAAGGAGAGGGGGCCGGTGCCCCCCTTCCTTCTCTCTCTCCTCTTCCCCCCTCCCGAATCCTATTCTCCTCCTGGCGCGCCCTCTCCTGGCCGGCCGCACCCCCCCTTGATCCTTTATATACGGGGGCAGGGGCACCCCATAGACACACAAGTTAATCCACGTGATCATATTCTTAGCCGTGTGCGGTGCCCCCTTCCACCATAGTCCTCGATAATATTGTAGCGGTGCTTAGGCGAAGCCCTGCGACGGTAGTACATCAAGATCGTCACCACGCCATCATGCTGACGAAACTCTTCCCCGACACTTTGCTGGATCGGAGTCCGGGGATCGTCATCGAGCTGAACGTGTGCTAGAACTCGGAGGTGCCGTAATTTCGGTGCTTGATCGGTCGGGCCGTGAAGACGTACGACTACATCAACCACGTTGTGCTAACGCTTCCGTTGTCGATCTACAAGGTACGTAGATCACACTTTCCCCTCTCGTTGCTATGCATCACCATAATCTTGCGTGTGCGTAGGAAAATTTTGAAATTACTACGTTACCCAACAAATGTGTAGTAGTAGAATAACATCTTTTTTAATAGGGAAAAACTAGTTTTATGCAAAAACTAAACTTAGAGCTATCCATCAGCCAAATTGCATGTACAAATAGGTTCATTACACTTATGATGTGAACTGCCAGTACATTCAATGTACTGACCTATATGGATGCAACTTATCACGTTGCAGATATATCCGACGAGGATTAAGGTGCGATAGGTCGATGTTTTACACTCAACCTTGCTCGTTGAGTTGGACTCATTTACTACTTCGCCTCCGCAGTATTTGCTTATTGGCTCTATGCCCTATTTTGTAATAAATGTATTACTCCTGGACTATCGATGTCATAAAGAGATGTGTGTTATTTCTGTTATTTCATCGAGTACTGTGTGTGCTAACAAGTCGATCTAGGTCTAGCACGGTAAGCACAGAGACTTCGACTCTTACCGAGTCGGGTCACTATAGTACCGCCCTTGCCCAAGCTGTTCATCAAAAGGATCGCCGGCCATCGGCTAAGGCGATCGACAACACAACGACGACGACAATGAGGATAAAGAAGACTGCAGCCACCCGGGCGCTTCCCCCTCGACATATTGCAGTGTTGGGGAGTACTACGCGGTCTCCTGTAGCCGCACCGCCACCCTTTCACCTCCGGCGCCCCCCCTCGACATATTGCAGTGTTGGGGAGTACTACACGGTCTCCTGTAGCCGCACCGCCATCCTTTCACCTCCGGCGGTCGAAGACGAGGTGGATTCGGCTGACACCACGAGCACACACTTGGGCTTGATGACATTGCGATGCCAATGCCATATACTCAAACGAGAGAACCCGAGGTGGTGAACTAAGGTTGACGAGGTTGAGGAGAGTCAAGTAATCAAGAAGAAGAGTGGGATGGAGAACCACAAGACCGAGGAGGACAAAGCTTTGTGTGGAGCTTGGGTCAACGTCTTTCTTGATGTTACACATTTAAATTGTGTATGTCTGTATTGAAATGTGATCAACTCGTTACGATTGTGCAAGCAATCGTTTTTAAAGATTGGCAAAATAAAGCCTTTAGGTGAGGGGATCTGCTAGACAAGCATCAATGATTTTCTTTTAAAAGAAACGGAATAATAAGAGGATTATTTAAGACTTTTAGGATAGAGGATCTGCCAGAGACGCTTTGATGGACTCCCATTGGCTGCAATTGATGTCGTGACAACAGCATGATCAGTTTCGGTCACCGGGAGCTCTCAATTCACACACCACAAAACGAGCAGGGGTAGACGACACAGCCGCATGCACGTCCATACGGAGGGACCCGACGAGGCGAGGCGCCGAATATGCCGCATGGGATCGTGACCGCCGGGGCTGCGGACGATGGACGGAGTGTGGCCAGCACGTCGACACGCTCGGTCATCACCCCGCAGGTGCGGGCGTGAGGCGGCCATGCGAACCCGTGTGTGTGCCCACCACGACCACCACCCCGTCAGGAATCCGCCGTGTCCCCACTGATGAGAGAACGGAGCCCTCCATCGCCAGCAATCCGCTGGGGCGTCAAAGGATGCGGGCAGCGATAAGGGGAGCGGATAGTGCCGCAGCCAATCAGCGGGCGGAGGCCAGCACACATCCCCTCCCGGATTCCCGTCCACGACGCATGTGGCTTACGGCTTAACCCAACCCAACCTCCACCCACACCGAACCCAAACCCAACACGCGCGCGCATTAGAAAATTCGCCCCGACCCCGAGGCCTCGCCCGGCCCGCTCCGACTGCTCGCGGGCCCCGCACGCCACCTCCCTCCTTAACCTCCGGTGCGGCAGCTGCCAGACCCCTTCTTCCTCGCAGACCCGGCGGCTCATCCTCCCTCGGAGAAGGCGCGCACCGGCCGGTGGTGGAGAGAGGGGGAGGGTGGGAGAAGCGGCCGTATAAGGATCTCTCCGCGCTCTCTCGTCTCTCTCTCTCCGGTTTTACCTATCTGTATATCTTTTTTTTTTGAGGGAAACCTATCTGTATATCTATTTATTTACGTACGTACGGTTCGTGGGCCGGGCTGAGGAGGGGGAAAGCCCGCTGCTGCTCTTGTTGTTGGTCTGCTCGATGATGGCGGGAGCGACGTCAGCCACGGCCGCCGCGGGCGCATTCGCCGCCGCCGCTGCCGGCGCCAAGGAGCGGGGGACCGCCACCGCGTGCCCCTGGGTCGTTGCCGCCGGCGGCCGGAGGCGGTCCGGCGTCGTGCGCTGCGACGCCGGCGGGGATGCCCAGGCGGCGTCCAAGTTGGCCAGCATCACCGCGCTCGAGCAGTTCAAGATCTCCGCCGACCGTGAGTCCCTTCCTCCTCCTCCAATTTTGCCGCCCTTAATGCGCAGTTTTGTTTTGTTGGTGGTGCGCGAATTAGGGGATCTCTGTGTGGTTTTAGCGGAAGTTGGCGCAAGTTTTGGTGCATATGTGCCGATTTGTGGGCAGTACTTGGAGAGTTGGACAAGTGAAAAAGAGAAACGTAGGGGAACTTGCATTGTTCTCCCCCAGTTTTGCTTTGATTGTTGTGAGCACATGCAGTATTTTGGCAGGTTATTGGTCTATCATTACTAATTCATTGTGTTCACAGCCTATCTGTTCAGGATTACATAGTAAGAGTTCCCGCAAAAAAAAGGTTAACATAGTAAGAGACAATTGGACTTAGAGACTGTGTGATATCTTGAGGAAAACCTCGATTAGTTTTCTTTTTCTGCACCGAGTGCCGAAAGGCTCGCAAGTTGTAGAGGTAACTGATCTTGGAGACACGCGTTTCACAGATTAGCAGACCATTAGCACTACGGTATGGTATAGGAGCTTAACTAAATGTGTTAATTAGTGTTGCAGCCTAAATAAAGGAGCCAATCCGGCTAAAATTTAGCACTACGTATGTTCGTCGGTGATGAATAAACCGTTATATTTCTTAGCAGGGCTCGACATGTACAGGTGCTTAACAAAATGTGTTAAGTAGTGCTGCAGCCTAAATAAAGGAGCATACCTGAATAAAATTGCCAAGTACTAAGATCACACAAGATAAGAAGGTAAGAATGGACAGTAGTCGTTGCATGCTTGAGGTATCGGATATTGACCAATTACAGGAAAAAGTGGGTTCATGTTCTCTTTGTTGTTTTGTTCTGTAACCTGAGTTTCCTGCTGCTAAAACTTCAAGATTCGAAATATGTAATTCCTTGATTCAGAATATATATGTGTGACTCCACTAGTGTAAGCACGAAATATACCCCTTATAATTACAACATATCAAGAAACCTTTTATGTAGTGAAAGTAGCTGTGGAAGGAGCGGAACGGCACATCTTTAATCATGATCAGCTCCATCTAGTCGACGTGGCGACCCTCGCTCATGAGGACTTTGCCCTGTGTAGCTTGGCTTTGCTTGACAGTAGTCCGATAGCCTGTAGAAAGTTGCTTGTTTTTTTGGCTTAGGAGGGTGTTTAAGCGGTAGTTTATCCTACTCGAGTGATTTGATTTTTCTGCTTCTTTGTGCTTGCTGTGGCACAAACTTCTTTGTGGAGATTTGTGCCAACGAACTTCTTTTCCACATTTAACAAACTTCTTTCCTCTTTTCCTTCTCCGTGCTTGCTTGCTGTGGCAAGCTGTGTAACGAACTTCTTTTCCTCCTTTAATGAAGGCATCCTTGCTAAGAAAACGTTATGGTGATTTTGCCGTCAATTTTAGTATCATTCTTTCATTTTTTTAAAGTATGTCTACTTGCAGTATTTGACAATGTTTTAATTTTCACTACCAGGGTACATGAAGGAAAAGAGTAGCATCGCTGTAATAGGCCTCAGTGTACACACAGCACCAGTGGACATGCGTGAAAAACTTGCTGTTGCAGAGGAACTATGGCCCCGTGCTATTTCAGAACTCACCAGCCTGAATCATATTGAAGAGGCTGCTGTTCTTAGTACCTGCAACAGAATGGAAATATATGTGGTGGCTTTATCGTGGAACCGTGGTATTAGAGAAGTAGTGGACTGGATGTCAAAGGTAAGAGTTTAAATGCTCGTTTGCCCTGTCCATACTCTTTTGCCCTGCTTATCCCTTTTTGGTTGCTCAAGTGTGCAGTATTATCAGTGAAGCTCTAACGCCCATGCTATTTTTTTGTGTGCAGAAAAGTGGAATCCCTGCTTCCGAGCTAAGGGAGCATCTCTTTATGTTGCGTGACAGTGATGCTACACGCCATCTGTTTGAGGTATCCGCTGGGCTAGACTCTTTGGTTCTTGGAGAAGGACAAATCCTTGCTCAAGTTAAACAAGTTGTCAGAAATGGGCAAAACAGTGGAGGCTTGGGAAAGAACATTGATAGGATGTTCAAGGATGCAATCACAGCTGGAAAGCGCGTCCGCTGTGAGACCAATATATCAGCTGGTGCTGTGTCTGTCAGTTCGGCTGCAGTTGAACTGGCCATGATGAAGCTTCCAAAGTCTGAATGCTTGTCAGCTAGGATGCTTTTGATTGGTGCTGGCAAAATGGGAAAATTAGTGGTCAAACATTTGATTGCCAAAGGATGCAAGAAGGTTGTTGTGGTGAACCGTTCTGTGGAAAGGGTGGATGCCATTCGCGAAGAGATGAAAGATACTGAGATTGTGTACAGGCCACTTACAGAGATGTATGAAGCAGCTGCTGAAGCTGATGTCGTGTTCACAAGCACCGCATCTGAATCCTTATTATTCACGAAGGAGCATGCAGAGGCGCTTCCTCCTATTTCTCTTGCTGTGGGTGGTGTTCGGCTTTTCGTCGACATATCTGTCCCGAGGAATGTCGGTGCCTGTGTATCTGAGGTGGAGCATGCACGGGTATACAATGTTGATGACTTGAAAGAGGTGGTGGAAGCCAATAAGGAAGACCGTGTCAGGAAAGCAATGGAGGCCCAAACAATCATTACCCAAGAACTGAAACGGTTCGAAGCATGGAGGGATTCGCTGGAGACGGTTCCGACTATCAAAAAGCTGAGGTCGTACGCCGACAGGATCAGGGCATCGGAGCTCGAGAAGTGCCTGCAGAAGATCGGGGAAGACAATCTCAACAAGAAGATGAGAAGGTCCATCGAGGAGCTGAGCACGGGCATAGTGAACAAGCTCCTTCACGGCCCACTGCAGCACCTGAGATGCGACGGCAGCGACAGCCGCACCCTGGACGAAACGCTTGAGAACATGCACGCCCTCAACAGAATGTTCAACCTCGACACGGAGAAGGCGGTCCTTGAGCAGAAGATCAAGGCCAAGGTAGAGAAGACCCAAAGCTGAGACCAGGAGATACTTGTCCGTCTGTATATTTACTTATACTGCTCCCAGAATGTCGCTACATTCCAATCCCAGTATTTTTTTTCTGATCCTCCACTTACTGCTGAGTTCTTCTTGCGCCGTGAATTAGCCATGGCAGCCTCCAAATGTGTTGTAGAGAGGAGCGGCGAAGCATGTTTGCTCCAAAACTGCCTGTGTACATTATTTACCGTGGCTGCTGTGGTTAGAGCCCAATTTTCAAGCTGTACTATAATACTCTATTGGATGAAATAAACAGGAATATATCAGTGTGTTAATCGATGCATTTGTTTTATTCTTGTGTAAGCTTGTGATGCATCTCTATATGTACATTGCATTAGTTCCTGCATTTGAAATGTTGAGCATTAATAAGATTTCCGAACTCTGAAGGTGCTCGGTCTGCTTATAGGGTTCAGTCGACTCCTTTCTTCAGTGTTGTCTGGAGCTTTCATCTGTTCTCTCCCTATGAGGCCAAAGTTGCTGGACACATCAATAACCAGTTTGCCGATTATCTTTCTGTTGGACCAACACATGGCCGCCTAACAATTTTGGCCGTTCTTGGAATTTGGCAAGGTTGTATGGTGGCGAGTTTGCATCTTAGGTCTTGTTCTCTGTGCGGCGACGAAGACATCTTGGTACCTTGTGATGATTGATGAGCGAGGTGCATCTCTTCCCTTGCACGATTGCTGCTGCCTGGTGCTAGCTTTACTAATGCTGATTGAGAGTCTGAGACGGAATCAAGAGTGCAGCGAAGCCAGTTCATCTCTCCTTTCTCCCCTGCGTCACCGTCTCCCTCTCCCTGTCCAGGGCGCAGGAGACGGGAACCGGGCGGCGGCCGAGGCTGCCGGCCACAGTGGTGTGGCGTCAAGTGTGAAGACTGAAGACTCTTAACCTGTCACACATCACGAGCGATTCAGGGAGGAAGATCGGGGTTCGGGTAGTCGGCCGGACTTTATACCGCTGCGGAGTTAGGTAGGGGCTGGGGTTAGAGATTTTCTTCTTCTTTGAAGCTTGTACTAGCATGTTTCATGCCACGGAATTTCCCCGTCCTCGTCATCCTTGTCACCACGATTCAAACTCTGAAGCCTAACCACGTGATCCTTTGACACGATCGATCAGTCGGAATGACATGCTAAACAGAGGCAATGCGTGTCACCTAGCTCAGTGTACACACCAGCTGGCTGCTCCAATATATAAGTACAATTAGATTAGGTCAATCCGTCACGCTACTGGCTGTTAATGACGAGTCCAAGTCGGTGCGCAGCTGGAGTCTCAAGAGTTCCTAGGCCGTAAGAAAGGTAGTTGGCCATCGGTGTCTCCCCGCTATAAAAAGTAGCAAAGCAGCGCATCTGTGTTCAAACCTCTTGAGGTCGTCCCAGTCCTTCAACTCCCCTCCCCACCTTCTCCCTCCGCCTCGCCTTCTCTCGACGGTCGACGCTATAGCTTTTCCCAAAGTGCACGCGCCATGGCGAGATCACGAGACACCAGGCTCAGGCTCAGGCTCACGCTCCTCCTCGTCACCCTTCTTCTGCTAGTAGACATGGCAAGCGTCAGCCATGGCCGACGGACACCGGACGTGGATGCCATGGCCCTCGTCGGTGGCGGTCCACCACCGGCGAAGGCCTACTCCTCCGAGCAGTCGTCTTCGTCGACTTCAAGGGAGCATACGGCTCGTGTTTATCGGCGCATGCACAGGGTGTCCAAGAGGTTGGTGCCCCAGGGGCCGAACCCACTGCACAACTGAGACTTTCTTCTACCCTGCAAGAGGAAAACTAGATATGCAGTTTGTGCTTTCAGTCACCTTCATCGAGTGATGTGAATTATATATAGAACACCTAGGAGTATAGAAGTACCGTATGTAATATCTGGCACTTCAACATGTAAAATGGGGCACCCTGACTCTCCGGGTGTCCATGGTAAAAAATGCACTGAAATGTATGCAGATGTGTAATGTGTTTATTAGAGTGATGCATGGTGCTAGTCAAAGTCTTCAGCGTGTACAGCTGGGCTCTTGTCCATTTGCAGACTAGAATATGATCAGACTCGTGATGTGTATGATAAGAATAGTGCAATGATGATCGATGAGTTAGGCAGTACAATCCAAGCAGGTACATGGATGGACTTCAAAATTGTGGATCCCAAAGGCCACATGACAACAGCAAGCAGTTTAAATATCCCGTTCTTCATACATCGTCCAAATGCATATGATTGTTTATTCTGTTAGGTGGTAGCTGATGGATTAAAGAGACTAAACGAAAACAAAGATAATTTTTCAGCCCCTCCTAGTCAACCAGAGAGATCACAAGCATATTAAGGTGCCGTGATGCTGAGTGGGATAGCTCTATCAATTTCAGGACACAGAACTGATGGAAAGATTGCCATGTCATTCAAGTACATGATGTTGGATTGTGGATAATATTTCCAGCATATGACAATCGAATCAGAGAATCACCTGTGTGGTAGGACCTTCAGAATCACAAGCTCCATGAAAGTGTGAAGTGCAAATAACATTACATGGGGCCTGGGCAAGCGATACTTCAAGTAGACTGCTGGTAAAGAAAATTGAACTGCGAAAACTAAAGGTAAACATCAAAGGACAAACACTGCTTAGTTGCAGTATAATTTGGTAATCATACCATACCTAGAGTTGTTGCCTTGCGACCATTATTCAGCTAGAAAGGAGGTTAGGTGCTGTAAATCTGAAACGTTGATTAGGAGCACACATCCTTAAATAACACTTTTGCTTTGGTACATCCCCTAAACATAATCTACGGAGGAGATCTCTACATACCCTTTCATAATAAAGGGTAAAATGGTCTTTTTAGAAAATATGTTACCCGCGCTCTTGAATTTGAAAATGAGGAAAATGAATTAATTAAAAAAGAGAAAAAAAACACTTAGGCCTTAGCCCAACTAGGCGACGACATTGGTCCCGTCGGGCGCCCGTTGGGCCAGCCCAAGCGCTCGCGAATTTGAAACAAGTTCATCAATTTTGAAAAAGTGTTCACGGATTTGATTTTTTGCATGTTTTTTAAAAGTTCACTAAAAAAGTTGCAAAAAAGTGTTTTGGTCATCTCAGCCCCAGCTGGGTTTTGGAATTTTTTTATCGATTTTAAACAAAAGTTCATCGAATTTGAAAAAAAATCACGGATTAAAAGAAAAGTTAACGGATTTGAGACAAAATTAATGTGCTTTTTAGAGAAATGACGAAATTAGGAAAAAAAGTTCACGGATTTTAGAAAAAAATGGATTTAGAAAAGTTCACGAATTTGAAGAAAAGTTCATGGAATTTAGAAAAAAAATGGATTTAGAAAAGTTAACGAATTTGAAGAAAAGTTCACGGATTTGGTTTTTCGTGAATTTATTCACAATATTTAAAAATCATGAATTTTAAAAAATAAAAATAGGATGAAAAAAGAAATACAAAAAGAAGAAACTGAAGAAAAACTGACTGAAAAAACTAAAACCAAAATAGGAAAACCACTGGTTTGTTTTTATAAGGGAAATGTCATACCTATAGTTGTGCATAATTTTTGAATTTTGACAGAAGACAAAAAATGTCTGTTTGAACACCCACCAATGAACGGCATATACGTACCGCGAACAACCCATCATACATACGAAAGTGTGTATGATTTGTGAAAGGTCTATATTGCCCTTTATACGAGGTAGTACTGTATTACCTAGATGCATCATGCATGGGGACAAAATGGAAACGAAGGACCTCCATATACCCGATGTTCGTGTATAGTCATCTTACCCTTTTTTTGCCGGTTGTGGCAACTTTTGTATGAGATTCGTTGTTTTGTTTGAGACCTTATTTTGAACCTGAACCTTTATTAATAATATGGCTGTGTGCATCAGGAGATGTAGAGGTTGGGGGTATTTCTCCTTTTCAAAAAAAGGGGATGCCGCTCTAGAGACTGGTTTTGATGGACAATTTCGTGTTGTCCGTGGAATGACAAGGGAGGGGATTTGTTGCATGTCACTTGAGATGCCCTAAGCAGAACATAACTGCCTAAGCCTAGTTTCACACAACGCCAATCCAAGGGTCGGGTGTCAATATTGGAAAGCGATAGGCAGAGTGGGGGATGAATTTATTGAACATGTTAAATTTATGGTTGGCAGTGGAGTCACATACTATCATAGTTAAGATTCTAGTCGGATTTGTGGCACGAGGAGAATCCCCTTAAGCTTTTCTTCATGGTCCTTTTCTTCTACTGGTCCAGTTCAGAGATCTCCATTATGAAGCTCTATACTAATAACTGGTCTTTGACTATCATCTGTGGTTGTCCCTCTAGAGTTGGTTAATTGGCAAGAGCTTCTTGCTCTTTTCTCTACGCTGTCGTCGACAAATGACCATATGTTCTGGCCCCACTCTGCTTTTAGAAAGTTTTCGGTCAAATCTCTGTATTCCATTCCAGACTTGTGCATGGGCGTCGTTTGAACAAGTTTGTGGGTATGTATTCCTCTCACAATTAAGGTTTTCATCTGGCAGGTCATTCGTTAGCATCTTCCAGTGAATGATCATAACTTTAAGCATAATAATGGCACGATTAATACGACATGTTCTATGTGGAAAGAACAAAGATACACGACATATCTTTTTCTTCTAAAATACGCACAAGCATGCGTGTCATATAATAAAAAAAGGGGGCAAGATGCCCAACCAGTTCTACATAACTAGGCCCAAGGCGCTGGCTGACAGAGTTACAGAAACCACTCCCTAAAACCCCGTGTACTCAATCTCTGGAGGGAACTTTGCAAATCTCTGCGAAAAAGATTCTCCGATTACCAGGCCTTCCCCTCCTCCAGGATGCGACGGATGATAAGTAAAACCAAGGGTGAAACACATCTTATTTAACTGTGTTTTGGCTATGCTTTTCTTGAGTTGTGTTTGGTTTTGTTACAAATCTTTTCGACTAGTTTCTCCGTACTTTCTGCATTGCTTTCGCTGCTCAGTGCTGGTCTCTGCGGACGACCCACAACAAGTTTATTATTGAACATTTTTTTCTTAATTGTTCTTTCAGGCCGAAGGTGTTGATGTGCTGATTAACAAGATTAGCGCCGCCACCTCCAGCTTGTTCTCTCCACCCATGTCTTAGTCTTAGTCCTTGCCCTTTGTTGTCTTAGTGTTTACCTGTTGCTCTTCCTATGGGCGGGCCTTCTGGGCCTAGTTTGAGTCATTTTGCTCTTGACTGGTGATTGTTTGAGCTATTTTGTAGTACCTCCTCTAGATGCTTCCGTTCGAGCATCAACTAATTCCAGATGAAGGGAGTATTAACTAGCGTACTTAGTTGTTATTTGACATTGCCAGTTATGGCTTTATTTATAAAGTTTGGCATGGTGGCTTGCCTCTAAAATATTTCATGCAACATTGTTGTTCGAATACACTGTTGTTCAATCAGGCTCATGCTAAGCAAAAGGAGTAAAAAATTATTGATCTAGTACGCCGTAGGTCGAGTGTAGTTATCATCGCTCACATCAGCGGCTTATGGATCAGCGCCCCGCAACTAGATCATACACACACTTTTACATCTTGGTGGCACAAAGTACGCAAGGTCATTCCGACTAGGCATAGGCGCGGCTTCGATTCATTCATCATACTTGCTGCTTGGTCGCTATGGAAACAAAGGAATGCTAGGGTGTTTGGACGCACGGAACAACAAAAGAGTACTCAACAACTCACTTCTCAGATCATGAAAGAGTTGCGAGAGTGGCACACCGCATGAGTTGGACGTTTACATCATTTTATGAGAGATTAGTTTAGTGCATGTGTTGGTGCTGGAGTGGCTAACGGGATGTTCGCATCCTTGTTCACCTCCTTATAAATATTTTATTCTCTTCTATAAAAATATGGTACGTCATTGACGTACTCTTGAAAAAAAAAACATCAACGGCTTATGCGATGCTATATTAACTATCTTGACCTCCTAGAAAATTCAGGAGCTTTTGTCGCTCCACACTTTTTTTTTGTCGCTCCACACTTGCTGGTGAGGCAATTATCCAAGTGCCCTGGACTGCAGTTGATGGCGCGCATAGCCGTCCGTTCTGAAACTTAAGGCCCCGCTTGGATCGTCGGTTTGCTCCTAAATACACTTGTAACCAAAACAGACCTCGAGCCGTCGTTTTCAATCTAGGCGGAAATAACACTGCGACCGGTAAAATACACTTGTAGATTAAATCCGGGTGTATAAGTTTACACCGAATCCAAGCGGGGCCTAAGGGTTCTGATCAAATAGGCAGCGACCCCCACAGGCAAGTGTTCTGATCAAATGTGTACGTGTCAAGCGATGAGTTGGGCCACGGCCGGCGTCTTGTCGCCATGCAAACATGGAATCCTCGGATGAGACGACGAGAGCATCGCTGCATTCCTTCCCGCGCGTCGTCTTCCAGTTCGCCGCTTGTTTAAATCTTCTCGCGGAGCCACCATTTGCTTCACACTCACTCACTGGTGTCGAAAGGTGGCGATCGTCAAGCCAGCATCCATGGCGGTGTCGCTTGCCGCGGTCCTCATACTCATCCCCACCTTGGTCGTATCTCTCCTATACCTCCTCTCTGGCAAGAAGCCCAGCAACAATGGGAAGCGCAGATTGCCGCCGTCGCCGCCAGGCCTCCCGTTCCTCGGCCACCTCCACTTCCTCGGCTCCTTGCCGCACCGGGGCCTCGGGTCCCTGGCCGCGAAGCACGGACCGGTTCTGCTGATCCGGCTCGGCCGCGTGCCCACCGTGCTCGTCTCCTCCGCCGTCGCCGCCGAGGAGGTGATGAAATCCCGCGACCTCGCCTTCGCGAGCCGCCCCAGGGTTGTCATGGCCGAGCGGCTCCTCTATGGGCGCGACGTCGCGTTCGCGCCCTACGGTGACTACTGGCGGCAGACACGCCGCATCTGCGCGGTCCACCTCCTCAGCCCGCGCCGCATCCTGTCCTTCCGCCGGGTCCGGGAGGAGGAGGCCGCCGCGCTGGTCGAGCGTGTCCGTACCGGCGCCGGCGCTGGCGCTGTCGTTGACCTGAGCGAGCTCCTCATCGCCTATGCCAACTACGTCGTCTCCCGCGCCGCGTTCGGCGACGATAGCGCGCGGGGGCTGTACGAAGGCGACGACAGAGGACGCGAGCTGAGGAAGGTGTTCGCCGAATTCGACGTGCTGCTCGGGACGACGCCGTTGGGGGAGCTCCTGCCGGGGATGGGCTGGGTGGACTCTGTGCGGGGATTGGAAGGGAAGGCGAGGCGGACGTTCGAGGCCCTGGACGGGATGGTCGAGAAGGTCATTGAGGACCACCGCAGACGGCGGCGTCAAGCAGGCGGGCGGCAGATGCGAGACGACGCCGACGGCAATGATCACCGCGACTTCGTGGACGTGCTGCTCGATGTAAACGAGACAGACAAGGACGCCGGCGTTCGTCTCGGAACTGTCGAAA